GAAGTTCAAAAGGCTATAGCTAATCTGAAACGAGGAAGGGCAGCTGGTCCAGATGGATTGGCCCCAGAGGTCTTTAAGGATGGTGGTCTAGTCTTAGCGATTAGGTTGACTAATATTTAAACTAAAATCTGGGAGTTAGACGTTATTTTATCTAACTGGTCACAATCACTTATCGTCCCAATATTTAAGAAAGGGTCAAAATCATCCTGTAACAACCACAGAGGGATTAGTTTGACTAACATAGTATCTAAAATACTAGCTTCGATAATTTTCGGACGCCTAACTAAGACTCGTGAACTGCAAACACGTCAAAATCAGGCTGGCTTCAGACCTGGTCGTGGCTGCATCGACCACATATTCACCATTCGTCAGGTTCTAGAACACAGGCATACTTATCGGTGTCCGACAATGGTGGTATTCCTTGACTTAAAAGCAGCGTTTGACTCTGTTGACCGAGAGGTTCTGTGGCAGTGTCTGTCATTGAAAGGCGTACCTCAGAAGTACATAAACCTTGTGAAAGCTCTTTACTCGAACACTACTAGTCGAGTGAGAGCTTATGGCGAACTGTCATCTGCTTTCGCAACCTCAAGTGGTGTCCGCCAAGGCTGTCCACTTTCTCCATTTTTGTTCAACTTCATCATAGATCTACTGATGAAAATAACGCTCTCATCGACTGAATTCTCAGGTATTGATCTCCTACCAGGAGGTCCACTTATTGACTTAGAATACGCAGATGACATAGTCCTGTTTGGTGAAGACGCTGATGAAATGCAGAGTCTTTTGGTAACACTGAGCAACAATGCCAGAATGTTTGGGATGCGCTTCTCTCCCTCCAAATGCAAGTTGTTGCTTCAGGACTGGTCTGCGTCAACACCTGAACTAAGGATAGGGGGTGAAGTAGTCGAACGCGTCGACAACTTCACTTATCTTGGAAGTCTGATCAGCCCTAATGGGTTGGTGTCTGATGAAATCTCAGCACGGATTCGAAAAGCTCGCTTGACCTTTGCCAACTTACGTCATCTATGGCGAAGACGAGATATCCGTCTATCAATTAAGGGACGAGTATACTGCGCGGCAGTTCGTTCCGTCCTTCTATACGGCTGCGAAACATGGCCTTTAAGAGTAGAAGATATTCGTAAGTTACTAGTATTTGACCACAGGTGCCTTAGAAATATTGCTCGCATCTGCTGGGGTCACCGGGTAAGTAATAGTGAAGTTAGACGCAGGGTATTAGGGAATGATGGTAAATCAGTTGATGAGGTTATGAATCTTCATCGACTGAGATGGTTGGGCCACGTGTTGCGTATGCCTGAACACCGATTACCACGACGCGCAATGCTGACTAGTGCAGGGGATAATTGGAAGAAAGTTAGGGGCGGCCAAACCAAAACGTGGCATCAGTGCTTGAAGTCACTAACTTCTGGTCTGAGCCATGTTGGTAGATTCAGACTGCCTGGTTGGGGTCCGCGTGACTATCGTAACCAATGGTTGGAGACTCTTGGTGACATGGCTCAAAATCGATCACAATGGCGTCGGTGTATACACTCTCTGTCTTCCTTAAATTAAGAGATTAAAATCGCTTCATATCTGTCTAGGAACTAATTCTTTCTTCCTTTACTATCTCCTTATACACACTCTTTCTTCTATATATTACCACCACTGAATTAACTACTCCTATGAATCCGGTGTTCATCTTGTTGTGCTAATGCGGTATGGCAACTTGGACCGATGCATATACGTGCCTGGTCCTACGTTGCAGCTGACTGACTGACTGACTTTCCGTTACATTATTTTAGTATCTCATTTATTTAGATTTTTAAGGTTATTATTTCCCTATTTAACTTTTTAAAATGAGACCAGACTGAAATTTCGAGATGATGGAGATTTGTAGCCCAAGTGTATGGTTTAGGTGGATTGTTGTTCTATGAGCTGGATGGTTTGGTCGTGGGGCTTTCGTCGTTCTTCTGAATGACATCATCAACGCAAACAATGGAAGCTTCACGACCAAACCATCCAGCTCAGAGATCAAAACTCCACCTAAAACGGGACTGAAGTCGATAAATTAGTTAATGAGTAATTTAGTCTAACACAATATTGCTGTCATTCTTTAGAGACTTTTCATCATTGATACAACTTGATTTTAACTTCAATAGTTTAAAAATAACGATTACGGATTATTCCATTTTTCAAAGCATAATATAACGACTTTTGACTATATATCAGTGGTCTTTGATTTACATTGTATGGAACGAAATCGATTCCGTTAAATGGTTTGAAGGAATACACAAGTAGAAATGAGGTATATTTTGTTGTCCTAGTCATCCTGAGAGTGAAAACGTAATTTTTTCACCACGATCACTGAGAATTATTTGGAAGATACTCTTATAGTTCTTTCGAATTAATAAAAAGTTTAGTGAAGTGTTAGGATGGAAGTTAGTCATCAGATGTATGCTTCTGCAAGTTATGTTGGAATGGTTATTATTTTTTCTGAAGGCTAGTCACTTACTTGTCTCCATGTAATGAGTTAGTGTGTAAGAACATCTCACAAAGTCCTAAATAAATGTCATAAATGTTTTCTTAGTCTAACAAATTCCCTCATCTCTAATCTTTGTTTTCTGGTTGTGAAATCCCACTTAGTTTTGTAGTTTTTGGGGCTGTCAGTCATTATGCTTGCCTCTTTAAAGATAATGTTAGCTGTCCCCACTCAAGTCTCTGACTTTATCACTTTCACGGTTTGAAGAAAGTCGATTATTTGATTTCTTTGTCTCATCCCTTCTGGTATATCTTTATCGTGAATTATGCCACAAAAGCCTTTGTTTTGTGTGTGACTTGATACGAACAAGTCATAGAAAGCGTTATACTATAATTTCTGGTGCTCTATTTAAGTATCCTGAAAATGTTTTATAACTGAAATTTCATTGGAAAGAAACCAACATTGTGGTTTTATAAACTACGTTACATTTTGAGTTGATTTAATATTAAATTAAATTTTGGTTCCTCGTGGTGTCCAGAGCATTTTCTTTTGCTTCTTCTTTTCACATATCTTTTTCAGATTGTTAAAATCTTGACAGTTTTTCCCCGTAATTTGGTGTATCCTTGATAATATTATCTGCTTTCTGTTTTGCTACTTGTTTATATATCAGTAATATATATTTCGATAAATAAGGAACTACTTGAAAAGTGTTGTACGAAGCCAATAATACAATGAAAGGAAGAAATTTATCAGTTTGTTAAAAAGTATTTCATTCATATGACAATGATATATAGAAAAAACAGAAATTACCCGAATATAACATAGATTTAGGGGATTTGTGAATAAGAAAATTCACTGCTGTAAAGAGCAGCTCAACGGAGCGATCCCCTTTTAGCCATTGCGTTATCTAAGCTATACAACCACGTTTTTTTTATCGCCGATCTATAATATTTTCAATAATAATAACTCGTTCATATTACGTAAGGGTAGAATTGTAGGAAGAAATATAAAAAAGATATTCTCGCATAAAACTAGAGATTTAAGACAACAGGATTGTTATAAGAACTGAGAAATTAAGCGGAATTGTGGAAATGCGTTGCTTAACTCGGTACAACAAATCAGAAAGTTAAATGTTAGCAAAAATTTACGTAAAAATGAAATAATACCTCTGATAGTGGATCTCTTCACGTAGCTACTTTTCCTCTCTTATTTTTAAATTTTAATAAGTGTTTACAGTTTATTTACCAACCATAAAAAACCTATATGATTGGATGTATAAGAGAATGTAATTTTATTTTTGAAGTGACAAGTTGATAGTTTCATGGTTAAAAAACCGTTAAGTGATTTAATTGTAGTGGTTATGACGCAGTTCCTTTATTTCGAATTTTAAAAATCATAGTTTTCTCCCAGAAACTTGGATTTTGCATGTATTTAATTGTCAAAATAGACATACATTGGTATTTAGTGGTTCATGTAAAAATATTTTATCATGGAATTGTAGGGTCAAGTTGTACTGCGTGGAAGTTGTTTTTATCTTTTGAATGAACAGCACTTTTCTTTTCATAAATGCATTAGTGTTGATTCACCGGCGATTATATAAAAGCTTTGATTTTGATTACTCCAAACATCTTTTTCGTGTGGTATATGGTAATATTTTGATTCGTGGAATTTGCATTATATTAGTCATAACACGCCTCAGTTTTTTCTATATCTGAGGTTTAGACACTTAAAAATGAAACTGGCGTTCCCAATGATGATATTTTTATAAGTGTACCTTAAATATGTAATATTGATTGTTTGTTTTTTGTTTGGGATTCGTTTAATCCTGTTTGGTCGTCTTAGATAAATCGATTTGTTTGTTTGTCATTGAATTTTTTATGGCTGTAAGCTATAGGCAGAAACCATTAAAATAGTAATCGTAATTGATTCGTTCTGTTTTTTGTTTTCGACACTAATGATTATAAAATTCATCCTAGGCTTCATGAACAGCTCGATGAAGACTTGATTAAACTTGTTTATATCATTTATTCGGTTTCAAATTCAAACCTAATTTAATTCGTAAAACACGATTATAGTATAGAATATGAAATCGATAAGGTTTAGTGATAAATATTTCTGATCTTGGTTCAATTATAAAGTTAGTTATTGTTGGAGCTGTTGATAAATCTATTCAAAATAAATATACGGTATTACAATAATTAACTGTTATTTTGAAAATTATAAGCGATAGTTTAATGGTTATCGCACTTGGATCTCGCAAGTCTAAACACTACTTCATCTACTTTGGTGTTCGGCTAGATATGTTATTTTAACAAATTTCACACAATAAATAGGGATTAAAACACATTATACAAATTTGTAACCGACTATTGGGTTACATGATTATTACTTTTATTCTTCTTCTTATTATTATTATAATTTAGCCGAATTTCAGTTTAACCACAAAGTAGTCTACCTTAATCTTTTTTGTAAAGAGAAGACCGTTACTACATTCTTTTTCCATACTTTTTTCTATTTCTGATCTTAGGGTTCCGTTGTAGCTGATGGACTAGGTGTAACTTGTTGGTGGGTCAGTTAACCTGAGAAAAAACTCCTTTGATATGATATTTTTGTTTATAATGTATGTATTTCAAGATTCTTAAACTTGATTATTACTGGGGTTATTTTTTGTATTTAATGAAATATTATTGTTAATGGTGATGACGGTGAATTTCAAAAGAAAGAAATACGTATGTACCCTTATTACTCTCTTTTTAAGAAAAGTGGAAACGTCATGATAAACAAGATTATATATGTGTATATGAATATTGATTAAACAGAAAATATAACACAAAAAATATGTAAATTTTCGAAAATAAAAGCGTTATTTATTCATTTGTGTATTGTATCACAGAAAAAGTTGACGAGAGGTGATTTTGTTTGATTTCAATTGTTATAAAACGTACTTTGTATGAACAAAACGGAAGGGGGTAGAAGAAAAAAACACTTGTATAGTATGTATTAATTACGCATAATTGTCTTATGATATATGTACCATATGACAGAATGTAAAATGATAAGTATATGTATATGAGTATGTATGTATATGGATATGTACATATTTTACGTTATTAACATAATAATTTACAACCGGGTAAATTTTTGTTCAAATATAACTTCACTGGTTGTGTAGCTGCTGGTAAATGAGCCAATTCCAAATAATTCAAACGTGGATGACGAGCTAATGTACATAGGCCATCTTCACTTATTCTTTTACAACCTTTTTAAATAAAATTAAAATCGTATGAAAGTAAAATTGTATGAAATATATTATATGAAGGTGAGTAACTGAGTGACAAATGAATTTTATAGATTATTATTCAGTGTTGCTGATCTTGTTCTCTTGTTTAAAATACAGTAGCTAAGATTTTATTCCTTAAGTCAATGCAATAGAGTATCGTACCAACTATCAGTCAGCTCTCAGAGCAGGTTCTACAAGATTTCACGGAGGCAGTTCACTAATGGTTGTCACATAACAGCAAAATAATTTGGTCGTTCGAACTTCAGATTCGAAAGTCGATCAATAAAAAGTAGTGAAAACCAATCTTCAAAATATCATGCTTCTGGGCACTGGTCTTCATGAGTCACAAAAAAGCTTTATAAAACTCGTATATTCGGTGATTGAACCAGCGTCTTATAAACCTTCGTTCAAGACCACTAACATAGAGATCTTAGGTTCTTAGAAGCAGTGCATTTCTTGGTCTCTGTGTCTGAATAATCATAGTAATCACTATAGTGTATACGAATCGGTTCACAAGCGAGTGTTATTGCACAGATAAAACAGAAAAATTCAATCAGAAAGTTGCACTGACTCACGGACGTATTTATCTGCTATATTAGTCGTAAATGACTTAAAATTAAGGTGGCGGATTTCGAATACTAGGATCCATGTAATTCCATTGATGATATTTTCTTGTCATATGTTTCTTCTTGGACGAAAAGCTTTTTTGTCAAGCTCATGGTTATTCGTTATTCGATCTGAAACTAGCCAGTCTTGTCAGCCCTCATACCCGTAACAGCACACGAGAGCAGGTTGGTCACATTCAAATCCTTCCTACACCTAATAACTCTCTTATCTCCACAACTAACCCTTCTTACGTCCCCTTATCACCTCGCCCCGCTAGTGCGAACGATTCGAGTACGCGGAATGTTATTCCTGGTCTCCTGAAACCACGCTCCAAACTACACGTAGGAGCTTTCAACGTCCGAACACTGTGCCAAATAGGACAACAGGCTTCCTTAGCTAAGGTGTTGAAAAGATAGGGACACTCGTCGTTGCCTGTTCGTCGTCTCTGCCTACTCTCCAACTGACTGCAGCTCAGATGATGTAAAAGATGAGTTTTACAGAAAGCTTTCCGACCTCCGAAAAGCTAGGCGTTCAGATGTAGTAATAGTGGCTGGGGACTTTAATGCTCAAGTAGGTAAACTAAGCGAAAAGGAAAGACACCTAGGTGGATCTTATGGTGTCGCGGTTCAAAGAACAGATAACGGCGACCGTCTGCTGCAGCTATGCTCAGATAACCGCCTGTTTCTTGCAAACACTAACTTTAAGCATAAGGAAAAACATCTTTTAACATGGCGACCCCCTAATTCGTCTCAACGCTGGACCCAAATAGATCACATCGCAATCAGCCACCGATGGAGGGGCTCGATAGAAGACTGTCGCTCATTCTGGTGCACATGCTTAGACTCAGATCATGCTCTAGTGCGAGCGCGTATTTGTCTACGTCTTACTGGACGTAGGAAACATGCTGCAAGGAAACCCCTTAGGGTCATACTAAATGATAGTCAAGCTAAGAGTATATTTCAGGAACAACTAGAAAAACAGTTAGACACCCATGTAAGTGACGCCCACCCCGAGGCAGCGTGGAATGACATCCGAAAAGCTGTAGAAACAGCAGTGATGTCTGCAAGTACGGTAAACCATAAGGTTAGGGAGAAACACTGGATCTTAGCAGCATCTACCGCACTGATAGATGCTCGAAAACTCATTCCATCTGGCTCTGAACATAACGAAGAGCGGAGTCAGCTTAAGCGTAAGCTGACTAGAAGCTTACGCAACGATCGTGAACAGTGGTGGGTAGCGAAAGCAAGAGAGATAGAAAAGCCAGCGGCAATAGGTAACAGCAGGCAACTGTTCAGACTTGTTAAGGAAACCGGTATTAGGAACCCAACTGTTAGCGAAACAATATCAGAGAAAGATGGACATCTTATTCATTCTCAATCCAGGAAATTGGACCGATGGGCAGAATACTTTAGGGATCAGTTCAACTGGCCTTCAGCCACACTTCGGTTTCCCACGATCTCCAGTCGACCTGAATGGCAAGTTGATGTAAGTCCTCAGACTCTTTACGAAGTTGAAAAAGCTATAGGAAATCTGAAGCGTGGGAGAGCAGCAGGTCCTGACAGGTTTACCCCTGAGATTTTTAAGGATGGAGGTCCAGTATTAGCAGCGAGATTGACAGAGGTCTTAGGTAGAATCTGGGAACTCGACGTAATCCCATCTGACTGGTCTCAATCACTGATTGTGCCAGTCTATAAGAAAGGACAAAAGTCCTCCTGTGACAATCACAGAGGAATTAGTTTGACTAATATAATGTCTAAAACATTAGCTTCAATAATACTTCGACGTCTAACCAAAGCTCGTGAAGAGCAGACTAGCGAAAACCAGGCTGGTTTTCGACCTGGACGTGGTTGTATTGATCAAATATTCACATTACGTCAGGTCCTAGAACATAGACACATATTCAGACTCCCCACAATGGTAGTATTTCTCGACCTTAAGGCGGCAGTTGACTCTGTTGATCGTGAGGTTCTATGGCAGTGTTTGTCACTGAAGGGAGTACCAAAGAAGTACATCAACCTTATAAAGGCTCTCTACTCGAACACAACTGGTCGAGTGAGAGCTTATGGTGAACCGTCATCAGAATTGATTACCTCAAGTGGTGTTCGTCAGGGCTGTCCACTCTCTCCATTCTTGTTTAACTTTGTCGTTGACGTCCTTTTAGAGATGACACTTTCCTCATCTAAATTTCCAGGAGTTGAACTTCTACCGGGAGATTCACTTGTTGACTTAGAATATGCCGATGACATAGTTCTATTTAGTGAAGACGCTGACAGAATGCAGAGTCTTCTGACCACTCTAAGCAACAATGCAGGCATGTTCGGCATGCGATTTTCTCCCTCGAAATGCAAAATGTTGCTTCAGGATTGGGTTGCGTCGACATCCGAACTAGTGATAGGGAGTAAAGTAGTTGAGCGTGTCGACCGCTTCACTTATCTCGGAAGTCTCATCAGCCCTTGTGGTTTGGTGTGTGACGAAAACTCAGCACGGATACAAAAGGCTCGACTAGCTTTTGCCAACTTGCGTCATTTGTGGCGTAGGCGAGATATCCGTCTATCAACCAAAGGACGTGTTTACTGTGCAGCAGTTCGTTCCGTCCTACTTTATGGCAGTGAAACATGGCCAGTAAGAGTAGGGGATATTCGTAGGTTACTAGTATTTGACCATAGGTGTCTTTGAAACATCGCTCGTATAACCTGGGACCACCGAGTAAGTAATGCAGTTGTTATGAAACGGGTACTAGGTAAGGATGGCAAATCAATTGATGAAGTAGTGAAACTTAATCAGTTGAGATGGCTGGGACATGTGTTACGCATGCACGACCACCGACTGCCCCGACGTGCGATGTTTTCTGGTGTAGGAGTAGGTTGGAAGAAAGCTAGGGGCGGCCAGACCAAAACATGGCACAAATCTATGAAGTCGCTGACAAGTGGACTGAGTCATGTTGGTAGGTGTAGACTACTTGGTTGGGGACCGCGAGACGATAGCAACCGATGGTTAGAGACCTTGAATGACATGGCTCAAAATCGTTTGCAATGGCGCAGGTGCATCCACTCTTTGTGTTCTCTCAAACTCTAATCTTCTGAATTCTTCATGTCCTTTATTTTCTTTCCCAATTTATTCCACTGGACTATACTCCTTTAATAACATCATCAAACCTTAATGTCCCCTATCTCTACTTATACTTTCAGTACCTCTACCACTATGGGATTTGAATCGATAACTGAATCTCTGTGCCAATGTGGTATGGCAACTCGAACTGATGTACGTACGTACGAAGTTCCACGTTGTTACTGACTGACTGACTGACTGAAAGTACTGTTTAACTCTTCGGGACCGTTTTTCACTGATAAAATGGAGTGGTTGACTGCCTTACTCACTCCACTTATCTGTAGGCAAGGTAATTATCAAAAAGTTACTCTTATTTTACCGTACGACTTACATGTGTTATTTGAAGTCAAATCAGTCAGTCAGTCAGCTACAACGTAGGACCAGGCACGTATATGCATCGGTCCAAGTTGCCATACCGCATTAGCACAACAAGATGAACACTGGATTCATAGAAGTAGTTAATTCAGTGGTGGTAATATATAGAAGAAAGAGTGTGTATAAGGAGATAGTAAAGGAAGAAAGAATTAGTTCCTAGACAGATATGAAGCGATTTTAATCTCTTAATTTAAGGAAGACAGAGAGTGTATACACCGACGCCATTGTGATCGATTTTGAGCCATGTCACCAAGAGTCTCCAACCATTGGTTACGATAGTCACGCGGACCCCAACCAGGCAGTCTGAATCTACCAACATGGCTCAGACCAGAAGTTAGTGACTTCAAGCACTGATGCCACGTTTTGGTTTGGCCGCCCCTAACTTTCTTCCAATTATCCCCTGCACTAGTCAGCATTGCGCGTCGTGGTAATCGGTGTTCAGGCATACGCAACACGTGGCCCAACCATCTCAGTCGATGAAGATTCATAACCTCATCAACTGATTTACCATCATTCCCTAATACCCTGCGTCTAACTTCACTATTACTTACCCGGTGATCCCAGCAGATGCGAGCAATATTTCTAAGGCACCTGTGGTCAAATACTAGTAACTTACGAATATCTTCTACTCTTAAAGGCCATGTTTCGCAGCCGTATAGAAGGACGGAACGAACTGCCGCGCAGTATACTCGTCCCTTAATTGATAGACGGATATCTCGTCTTCGCCATAGATGACGTAAGTTGGCAAAGGTCAAGCGAGCTTTTCGAATCCGTGCTGAGATTTCATCAGACACCAACCCATTAGGGCTGATCAGACTTCCAAGATAAGTGAAGTTGTCGACGCGTTCGACTACTTCACCCCCTATCCTTAGTTCAGGTGTTGACGCAGACCAGTCCTGAAGCAACAACTTGCATTTGGAGGGAGAGAAGCGCATCCCAAACATTCTGGCATTGTTGCTCAGTGTTACCAAAAGACTCTGCATTTCATCAGCGTCTTCACCAAACAGGACTATGTCATCTGCGTATTCTAAGTCAATAAGTGGACCTCCTGGTAGGAGATCAATACCTGAGAATTCAGTCGATGAGAGCGTTATTTTCATCAGTAGATCTATGATGAAGTTGAACAAAAATGGAGAAAGTGGACAGCCTTGGCGGACACCACTTGAGGTTGCGAAAGCAGATGACAGTTCGCCATAAGCTCTCACTCGACTAGTAGTGTTCGAGTAAAGAGCTTTCACAAGGTTTATGTACTTCTGAGGTACGCCTTTCAATGACAGACACTGCCACAGAACCTCTCGGTCAACAGAGTCAAACGCTGCTTTTAAGTCAAGGAATACCACCATTGTCGGACACCGATAAGTATGCCTGTGTTCTAGAACCTGACGAATGGTGAATATGTGGTCGATGCAGCCACGACCAGGTCTGAAGCCAGCCTGATTTTGACGTGTTTGCAGTTCACGAGTCTTAGTTAGGCGTCCGAAAATTATCGAAGCTAGTATTTTAGATACTATGTTAGTCAAACTAATCCCTCTGTGGTTGTTACAGGATGATTTTGACCCTTTCTTAAATATTGGAAGGGTTCTGCTGGAGGTACCTGAAAAGGAAATTGGATTAGAGGTGGTCATAGTGACTTGAGAGCGTGACCGCAGTGCCCAAGGGACAGCTGCTTGAGGTCGGTCACACACGACCTTTTTATGAGTAATTTTTGTGTTAGCTCCGTACTTGTTGAGACCTTACCGCCGGAGACGGATATCCGTGGGATAAGGCGAGGTGTGCATTTTTAGGGTCGACCTTTTCTAACCCCTCCCCTCCTTGTGGGAAGGCAGCATCGCTGTTATGCTGGTTGTCTGAAGGAAACACCTTACTGCTGTCACACCTCTGTACAGTCAGCAGTACGACTTCGCCTTCGGACCTTGGTTTTGTTGTTTTTAGTCTTACCGCTCTTCAACCGACCTGTCTGGCATGGTAGGACCTTGAGGAACGGTTGTTCCAGCCAGTATAGCTCAGTTGCTTCATCACGATAGGCAAGCCCGACCACCACGTCAAGGTAGCAACAACAGTCAGGTTGAAGTCAAATAATATAAGAACACTCGAAACTAGTAGTTATCTTTAAATTATTTCTTGCGTTTGAACGAAACATTAAGTCAATTACAAAGCTCTGAGTAGTGGATATGATTGACTTGTACATGTAACTGTGTAGTGTTAGCCTAGATTGTAGAATATTTTGGAATCGTTAGACTAAAGTTAAAAATGTTCAAGATAACTTAGTTTAGAATTATTATTACTGGTTCATCCAGAAATTGAAATATATCTTACTAATGAAGGATATTTGATTCCAAAATTACGAACGGGCGATTTCAAAATATTGAATTAATTCGAACTCGAAATGGTGTAAATATGAACTGAACTTGTGGACCCGTAAATTTTATTTGCTAATCTGAAATTAAAAAGGCTACAAATTCATTTCTGATCATTCGTTTTCGATTTCAGTATGTAACATTAGGATTACTTTGATGAGCTTTCATTTCTTCAATTACAGTTTAACAAAGTACAGTTAGTTATATAATATACCCTTGTGGGCCAGGGTAATTTTACATCGGTTTTCAGGAGAACCAGACACTGTATAGGCTTTAACGCTACAATCTGAATAGTGCAGCTCAATCTTGTGGCGCAACCACACAGGTGCCAAGCACCCTGGTGGACCATTCGCACCATTCATATACACATTCATATCACATGTGTAGTTATTCCGATCAATAATCGCGAGAATCAATTATGCACGGCACGAACAGGCCAAAGTTGACCCATTCCGCTTACACGACAGTCAAACTCATTAATGTTAGCAATAGCGACATGCCTTACAATGTCCCAATGACAATGGCCCTCGAGAACACTGAAAAGTAGCCACCAGTATGAATGAAATCAGTTAACCAGCAAAGCAATTTTGTTCGTGAACAGTCAGCAAAACTTGCCAAAGCATTGCTAAACCATCCACAATAGCAATGGCGAGCCTCCAGCCTCATATGAGACCTTCAGCTCTACACAGCCATATAACAAAGTACAATAAATTATAATTCCGATGAATTCGTTCATTTATGATTTTGAAAGTGCATATTTGATAAAAATAATGTCATTGCTAAGTAAGTATGCATGTATAACTTACCACTTAGGCATAGACAATTTAATCCTGTCGTACTAAGTAAATGAGGTATACTACCGTCTGATAAATTGATACACCATCTTACGCTGAGATGTTGAAGATTAGACATTGTTGCTAAATGGCTTATTCCCAGATCAGTCAATTCTGTACACCTATAATTATTGAAAGCGGGTGAATGGGAGGTTGGAGATATCAAAATTGTAAAATAAATTTATGATTAGAAAAGAGGATAATAATTTTATTATGATCATAAGAAAATGTCAGTCTCTGAAACTACCTCCATAAGTATAACCGTTCTCTTCATATACTACTAATAACTAATCACAACACAGATGTGTGGATGAATAGTTAAAAAGAAGTAAACTCAAATTAGATACTATAGTTACCAATTCAAACTAATGATCAAAAGTGATGGGTAATTTGGAGACAGATATTTTTAGAAATACAGTACTGGAATCATGAGATTGAAGGTGAAATACGTGAACATTTGTTGATAATGTCCCGAATATAATGTAATTTAGGCTTGGGTCAGATTTTAGGACAAATAAATTCATGAGGTCAATGGTCACAATTAATAAAGGGAATTAGTTTGAAGATTAAAAACCACTTGTAATGTTCAGTCAGATTACGTAATTCGTGAAATGATATGAGTTAAGTGAAAGATTATAAAACTGGAGTTACTATTCAATACATTGCTCAACTGTCTAAGAAGAAAGATAGTTTAACTAAATAAGTTTAAACGGTGAAAATACAGCGGGAAAATAAATGTAGGCTACCTTAACCTTGAGATAATCTTTTACTTATTGAACATGTGACCAATCAATGTACAAAAGATCCAACCTGCTTTTCGTGGATATAGATCTTTGAGTTTTTAACGATGCTAGTTCTTTGATGGTCTAAAATCTATAGAGAATGCTTCATGCCTCCACTAATGACTTATATCGCTCGATTATTCATTCAAATCAGGGTGTAATTCCAATCGAGGTTGATGGATGGGTTTTATGCTTATCCTTGAAGTTCTTTCAATTTTACTTGTGATGATGAAATACGTTATGATAGTTGTGTATGACTGCTACCTGACATAATTACCTAGTGATGTAATTTGTAACGTATACGTATGCTACGAATATGCAGTAAGAAATCATTAGAATAATATTATCATATAACGATGATTGAAATTATTGAGTTGGAAGTTATTGCAATAGAAAATCAGTGAAATACACTTTATTATTATTATTGGTTGTTTGATTATTCTAGTTATAAAAATAATAAGCAATTGAGACATATGTTTATGAATACAATGGATTTATCATTGATGGACTGTAATTACTCATGAACAAAAAACACATCGAACATAATGTAAATATGGAAAACTCTGATTGTTATAGTAACTTGAAACAATTTATTAAACAATAGACAAAAAATAAACTAATATTTCTGTTTCAAAATAAATTAGATGATAATTATCAAACTATTTGCAGGCAAGGATGTCATTGTTTTAATATCAATTTAAGTCGATCTGAATTTTCGGGAAATATATTTTTATTATTTATCTATACTATGCAAGGTATTGAATAACAATTCTTTATTCATAACCGTTAATTGTTAATGAATAGTTATTTTTTTGTTAAATTTCTTGCTCTATTCCCTACTGTCTCTTGAACACTCGAGAAAAAACCAAAGTGACTCAGGACCTAGAAGTCTATCAGTGAAGTCGGTGATAAACCTTTTGTGTTTATTAGTTAATTGATTGTGAATGGACGTTTGAACTCGTGTAAGCAATGCAATTTATCCTCCTTACTCATGGCTATTCATTGGTAAGGCGAGAAGCGTATAAGTTAGGATTCATATATGTAAAATCAAATGCAAAATCTACATATCACTTTAACCAACTCAAAGAGAAAATTGTAAATTAGAGAATTGGCTGGTTGAAACAATCTTTCAATACTTTTGTCACTGAGTTTTTACAATTAAAATGTTGACTAAGAGGAACTTATATCGAAATTTTATATCTTGTGTTAAGAATTCCTCATTATACTTTGATGTAATATTTAGTAATATGGTTATTATCTAATAAAATAAAGAAATATATTCTTCATGTATTTGGTCAAGAACCATATAACATTTGAATCTTGTGTAACAAATTCATACTGCAGTATTAGTTCTAATGATCAAAGTTTATCTACCTATGTGAAGCTATGATTTAGATGTTTTATTTTTTATGTCGCCTAAGTCAGTGGATTGCAATTTTTTAAGTTATCATACCTACACTGGTTTTGAACAACCAAAAGTTACAGATATGCTTTATGTACATTTACCTCTATCTAGTTAACAAAAATGTGTAAATTTATTGTAGTAATAAAATTACAATAATCTATGATGGACGACCTTAGTATAATTTTGCAAATCGGTAAGTAATACTTGTTTGTTCAATTGAATACACTGATCGATCATGTAATAGTAACCGATGTTTTGATTTTTAATCTCTATTGCTAATCGAAATATATTGATTTAGTGAAAATGCAACCACTAGACTAAGCCATTCAACATGGCAGTATATTATGTTTCTGATATGACATAGTTGAAAATAATAGATGGAGAATCCTGGACTTAGGCTTCATATCAGTTGATTCTGGCCAGCAAGTATTATTTGCAATTTCAGTTCGCATATTGTACCAGTTGCTATCATTACTTCTTCACTTGTCTTAACATGTAGTTACCTTCAAATATGAAACAAATAGAAAAAATGAATTCATTGATCATATTCTAAATAAATTTGTTTGATTCGTGATTCAGCAAATTTATTGAAAACAATTATAATACTGTATGCATAATAGCAAAGAAATCGATAATTTAATGTAAGGCAAAAGACATTTATTATTATCGTTATTCAAACTGGCGTTATGATTGGATAGAGATAAACGACTATGTAAATCGGTTGCGTAACATATTGAAACAAAATGGAAAATAAAATAAATACAAAATTTATAAATGAATTTAAAGTAAGATGTTAACTGGACAAAATAGTGGGTCAGTACTTAAGAGTGAAGATGAAGACTATATTATTGAGTTATTCAGGTCTTACTAGATCATGGTTTCCTAGATGAAGGACATACGCTACGAGGTTGTAGAGAAGACAAGGACTAACTCTTTTTGTAACGTTTCTTTTCATAGTAGAGATGGTCTTAGGCAATAAGTCTGTTACCACCGAATGACGATTTCACTTCTTATTACCTCTTAGTATTCATGCAGAATAGTCTTTTGGACCCTGTTGGATATAATGGTTACTGAAATACCAAATACACATAAGTAGGTGAAAGGGCTTGTACGAACAATAGTGGTCAGGTGTATTAGTTTCGCTGTTAGATTATGAAGAAATAATAGCGTGTTGTAGAACCTTAACTTCTAAAAATGTGCCTAAGACGTCACTCCAACGCAATCTCAGTTAAATGGAGTTGTATAGTAGAGACTGGTAAGATGTCAAGCCCACATAGATTATTCTAGCTACTGAACAATTCGCTCATTATTCTCAAGCCATGTTTTGACCTTGTCAATTATTCTCTTATTAACCCTGACCATCTTTTATATGAATGTAAATATTAAGTCGTATTTGGTCAAAAGGAGTTGGCTCACTCTCCTTCTCCGTTGCGTGTCACTTCACTTGGTTTCTCTGATTGTCTGTTCAGACAGTAGTTCTGGATGAAAAAAAAACTGAATAAATTGGGAGAGTTCTAGTCAGCTTGTGTGATTGTCTATGCAAACGTATTTTGAGTTTGAAAGTTAATGATGGAAAGTTAAAGAAAATCATGTTTAACTCTACTACCGGTTTTAAATAATGAAGATTGGAGTTGTGAAGTTTAATTATACATATGGTCGATCTTCCAGGATGATAATGAACTTTCTAAGAAAAAGTTAGTGTTACATACAAATACAGAACCTAGTTATTCTGAGAACAGACTTAATTTTAGGAACCACAGTGGTTACTTGATGATACTAAACATGAAAATGTTCTCAACATAATCTGTGTAATAACAATCAATATCTTTGATATAATTAATGTCACAAATCTTATTGAAGAAAGAATAAATAAATTGATATGTTTTGAAAAGGATAAGGATTCAAATGCAAAGATTCCTACATCCATAGGAAGTGGTTTCATAGTGTTCTAGTCCTAATTTGAAACTTAGGAGTTTGTATCCCCTACTTACGCGTGATCATACCGAAGATCTTCAGATTTTATGATAAGTACAATACTATCAAACGATTTATCTCTAGTTTCCAAATAGTTCTACAACTAATATCGTTTCGTGGAAAAAAACTGTCTTGAAATTGTACGATATTTATACTAAGTCATATAAAGAACTGTGCTTGCATATTAATTAATATGACTTATTAACTGGTCATTAAACAGTGAAGTAAAATGCAGATTATTTTTATTTCAAGTGCAAAGAAATAAAGTTTTGAAGGACACGTTCTGTGGTGGTGGTGGTGATTAGATAGTGGAAAACTAGGTTCATTTTATTTTATGTCTTCATTTTAAGTGGTAAATTACAACATTTTAGTAATAAAGCCGAGAAATTGGTCGTGTTAGTTATTACAGTTTGCTTTTCAGAGTTTATTATTATTACTACCATTACTATTGTTTCTATGACTATTAAATATTTTGTTGAGAAGATAAAGACCAACTTTTAAACTAACAGTAATTAAAATGGATAGTATATCAATCCGTATGATTGCGTAACTCATAAAAGTAAGGAGATAAAAACAGAAAAGACAAAGCAGTGAAGTTTTAAGGTATAACCCGTATGAGGCTTGTTTGACATACTATTCCTGAAACCTTTATAGTACCTTAGGGCGGTGATTATCAGCTCTTGATTAAAGTATTTAATAATGTGCACATTAATGAAACTATCATTTGTCTAATCTTCGTTTCTTAAAACACTATGCATTAACTCAGTGTAGTATACTTAAGTGTTTTACCAAATGCATTCATATTCGTGAGGAAATTTATGGTCATCTACCATTTGGATTCATGTTTGACTTGTTTGAAAATGAAAGAAAACAACTAAAATATTGTGGATAGGTTTAAAGGTTTGTAAATATAGGGCTATTGTATATTAAAAATAATTGAAATTAAATATTGCATATTTGATTAGTAATATCAATGAGCATTATAATAATCATAGTCTATCGAGAAGCTAAAATTTTAACATCGCATTAATTCTACCTTTGAAGAAAATTACAATGGACATGGGGAACGTCCTTTGAAGTATGTTCTTCAAGACAAGTGAAACAACTGTTCTTTAGATATGAGTAACTCAGTATGGTTTCTTCTGATCCACGAGCTTTCTATTCTGTAATCTAGGAAATCACTTGTGGAGTATTAGTCTCTCAGATATAGTTTTCCGTAAATGCAAAGGTACACTTGGAGGTAGCTTTTAAATTAGTATAGTGGATTTTGGTAAAATACAACATTGACTGATAAACTCACTTGGCTGAATAGATCATATTGTTAACTTCATGATATTTCCATATGTTAAGGTCTTAAAGTGTTCAAATATTCAGTGAATTTTTAGCGGCGTTCTACTAAACATTTCTGTTTTCTAATTGTGTGGATGTGAAGTTTGGTAACTTGAAGTGCTTCATAAATGAGTCGTGCTCTACTCTTTTTATGACTGACTTTATGTAATAGTCACTACAAAATATTTAGTGAATGCTTATGGACATTCTACTATATCATATTAATACAGAAAAAAGAGATGTTTTCCTATGACCATACTGACTTTGATTAATGTCAAATCAACCAATAAATCATTGATTTCTTCTCACCAAAAAACACTAAATTTTATTATCCTTCTGAAAAGAAATTTGATTTGAAAATAAGAACAGTAATTTTATAATCAATAAAATATTAAACTAACGGATAAATAATGACAAAACTATAATAAACAGTGAAATTTCAACTCAGCGATTCAAGCGTCAGGAGATTAGGAGTTCATAGACCCTATCTCATGTATAGTTGGAGTTAGTATTATGTTTATTTTAGAATTAATGTGTTTGGGATGATTCTTATCATATGCAAGCAAATCTCATGACTAGATAGCACTGGATAGCCGTTTCGTCCTATTGTGGGACTACTCAGCAGTGCGCATCCACGATCCCGCCATATGCTCACTAGTGACTGGCTTCAAGAGGTATTTCCTGGAATTTGAGTGAGAAGCAGTGACAAGTGGAGTTCAACCGGGTCTGTTTTGAGATAGTAAATCACTGAAGACAATGGTGGATGTGTCGCTCAATTTCGTGGATTAGTTGAAATTAAACATTAACACCGTTGGATGCAGCTCAGTGGTCTGGAGGTTAGGCGTTCGCACGCGAGACTGATAAGTCCTGGATTCGAATCCCGCGGCGGGCGCAATCGTGGATGCGCACTGCTGAGGAGTCCCACAATAGAACGAAACGGCCGTCCAGTGCTTCTAGGTCTTCCATGATGGTCTAGCTTCAATTGACTCATGATCTAAAATATTAAAATTACTATAATATCCACAAAACCCCTTTGGATACATAAGGTATATAAGTATATTTCGAATACAATGTATAATTTTTATATCTTAATAAGAATTTTCGAAATCTTGATGTTCTTTACATTTAGATTTGTTTCAGTTTATCTACTGGCCTCATTCTTGTTTAAATGTTACATTACAAATAAAAATTCATCTGTTCTCATTTTAAAAAAAGTATTTTTATTCATGTCGTTATTTGGCGAGATACGTGTTAACCCTTTTATCTGGTATTTATTTAGTCTTTGTAAAGTCAAATAGTCTTTTGTTTCTCCCCACCACTGATGGGGACAGTGATTACGAACATCTAAAAAATTGAATTCCAATTAACGAGGATACTTAAACTATAGAATTATAATCAAGTCAGCTATGAGAAAATTTCAATTCAAAGTGATCCTAGTTTTTTAGTAATGTTATCTCTAGAAATCCTTATTCAATTAGAATGTTATAAGTTACTTATAACATACGCATTATATTATTGAGAAAAGCAAAAGCATGAAAAAAAGGAATTCCTTAAGAAAGTTTTTTTTCAATTCACTGATATTAAATAAAGTAAACAATAATATTTCATCCAGAATCATCTAGGCGGAAATGATATGATCAAATCGATTCTGATTGCACTAAATATTCTTTGTTTCTCTGTACTGTTTAAACTTGTTTTAATTTCTTTGAAAAAGTCATTAACATTAAACTGTGAAGCATCAAAAATTCAATTATCTATTCACTACAATATTGGGAATGTATTATTTTATTATCATAGTTTATTTTTACATTAATAATCATTATAATAATTACTTTTTGTTCATGTTAGCTAAATTGAATTCATTTGTAAGAGTTTATTTTTAAAATAGTTGGTGGATATCTGGATTCAGTAGCTTGGTGTATAACTCATTGCTAATTGAAATAGTAGGTTCCATTTTGGAGTCTGAGTGTGCACATCAACACTGAAATTTAAGCACATTCAGCTGACGAATGCTAAACTGAATGAAACACATGTCCTGGCTTCTACTTCTGATCACAATCCAAATATATAAAATATCAATTTTTCGAAAACGTTTTGGAATCCGACCAATACATTAAATACACAAAGTAAACTAAATAAATGCTCACATATTCAAAAATTTGTTTGCAAGACTGAACTAGGTAAATGAATCGGTCATGAAACAAAAACGAGTACCAGCGTATGGACCTAGTCATTTGTCACTATACGAAAATCAGATCTTCTGGATGGACCATTATGTTAAACACAGCAAACAGCACTTTGGGGTTTCCCCGCGTGGGTTCGAATCCCATCTCCGTCGCCAATTGTTAGGGTTGGGAAACTGATAGAGAGACTACGGGTTCACTTAAATTGCGAATGAGATCGAGGATTCGGTGACCAAGGTCCAGTAAGCTAACTATTGACGCGTCCCAGCCCCGCTATCTAGAGTGAGAAGACCAAGCTTAGAATGAAAGTATATTCTGTAACAACCAGAAAACCAGCAACCTTTTGACAAGACAATTTCAGGACGTATATAAACAAATATATATATATATATATATATATATATATATATATATATATATATTGTCATGGAGCTTTGAAACATTTAATCGATAGTTCGTCAATTGACTGCCATTGAAATATTTAAACACATTTAATCGATAATTTCGTCAATCAACTATGTGCGTGGGCGGTAAGAAATGCCCACGTATACATGTGCATACAAGCTCCACAAGATAAAATTACAAACTATGAGTTTTTGGGGGAAATGACACCATTTCTCATTCAGGAATGGCATTAGATAATTTCTGGGGTATTTTTTGAATATCCCAACAGCTACATTGTTTCAATTATATTTCATTGACCCCCAGTTTACTTCGATAAGCGTTTATTCAATAAAGCGATTTGAAATTCATAATATTTAACTCACATCTATCACATAAGTTTGACGCGATTCACCTTGGTTATTTTGGAGGTGTTGAGTTCTCTGGACTATTTGGTTGAATCGTGAAGCTTTCATTGTCTTTATAAACGTCCTCCGACTCTTTACGAAGTTGAAAAAGCTATAGGAAATCTGAAGCGTGGGAGAGCAGCAGGTCCTGACAGGTTTACCCCTGAGATTTTTAAGGATGGAGGTCCAGTATTAGCAGCGAGATTGACAGAGGTCTTAGGTAGAATCTGGGAACTCGACGTAATCCCATCTGACTGGTCTCAATCACTGATTGTGCCAGTCTATAAGAAAGGACAAAAGTCCTCCTGTGACAATCACAGAGGAATTAGTTTGACTAATATAATGTCTAAAACATTAGCTTCAATAATACTTCGACGTCTAACCAAAGCTCGTGAAGAGCAGACTAGCGAAAACCAGGCTGGTTTTCGACCTGGACGTGGTTGTATTGATCAAATATTCACATTACGTCAGGTCCTAGAACATAGACACATATTCAGACTCCCCACAATGGTAGTATTTCTCGACCTTAAGGCGGCAGTTGACTCTGTTGATCGTGAGGTTCTATGGCAGTGTTTGTCACTGAAGGGAGTACCAAAGAAGTACATCAACCTTATAAAGGCTCTCTACTCGAACACAACTGGTCGAGTGAGAGCTTATGGTGAACCGTCATCAGAATTGATTACCTCAAGTGGTGTTCGTCAGGGCTGTCCACTCTCTCCATTCTTGTTTAACTTTGTCGTTGACGTCCTTTTAGAGATGACACTTTCCTCATCTAAATTTCCAGGAGTTGAACTTCTACCGGGAGATTCACTTGTTGACTTAGAATATGCCGATGACATAGTTCTATTTAGTGAAGACGCTGACAGAATGCAGAGTCTTCTGACCACTCTAAGCAACAATGCAGGCATGTTCGGCATGCGATTTTCTCCCTCGAAATGCAAAATGTTGCTTCAGGATTGGGTTGCGTCGACATCCGAACTAGTGATAGGGAGTAAAGTAGTTGAGCGTGTCGACCGCTTCACTTATCTCGGAAGTCTCATCAGCCCTTGTGGTTTGGTGTGTGACGAAAACTCAGCACGGATACAAAAGGCTCGACTAGCTTTTGCCAACTTGCGTCATTTGTGGCGTAGGCGAGATATCCGTCTATCAACCAAAGGACGTGTTTACTGTGCAGCAGTTCGTTCCGTCCTACTTTATGGCAGTGAAACATGGCCAGTAAGAGTAGGGGATATTCGTAGGTTACTAGTATTTGACCATAGGTGTCTTCGAAACATCGCTCGTATAACCTGGGACCACCGAGTAAGTAATGCAGTTGTTATGAAACGGGTACTAGGTAAGGATGGCAAATCAATTGATGAAGTAGTGAAACTTAATCAGTTGAGATGGCTGGGACATGTGTTACGCATGCACGACCACCGACTGCCCCGACGTGCGATGTTTTCTGGTGTAGGAGTAGGTTGGAAGAAAGCTAGGGGCGGCCAGACCAAAACATGGCACAAATCTATGAAGTCGCTGACAAGTGGACTGAGTCATGTTGGTAGGTGTAGACTACTTGGTTGGGGACCGCGAGACGATAGCAACCGATGGTTAGAGACCTTGAATGACATGGCTCAAAATCGTTTGCAATGGCGCAGGTGCATCCACTCTTTGTGTTCTCTCAAACTCTAATCTTCTGAATTCTTCATGTCCTTTATTTTCTTTCCCAATTTATTCCACTGGACTATACTCCTTTAATAACATCATCAAACCTTAATGTCCCCTATCTCTACTTATACTTTCAGTACCTCTACCACTATGGGATTTGAATCGATAACTGAATCTCTGTGCCAATGTGGTATGGCAACTCGAACTGATGTACGTACGTACGAAGTTCCACGTTGTTACTGACTGACTGACTGACTGATCTCCATATACTTCAAAAAGAAGCGAGCTTTTAGAACTTCTCCACAAATGATTAATATGCTAGTTCTATCATGATGAAACCATCCAGCTTAGAGAACGAAACACTTTCAAAATCGTTCGATCGAGCCGCACTGATTCACTATGATCATTTTATCTATTAGTATTTTATTTAAACCATTTGATCAGAAGTAGTGGTTACATTATTAAAAATTGTCTTGCATTTTATATCTAAATCATTTTACTAAGGTAACGATCAACGATAAGTGATTATATTAATACACTCTTCATCTTTCTGATACAATGGTAAAAATTTTGTTATTATTTCAATCTTTAAGCTTGATGCTAAATTCGTTGAACAGAGATTCCTTCGCTGAACTTCTTGTTTTTTGATGCGGTGCAAAATAATTTGAAACATATCCATTTTGAGAACCTACTACGGTCCCACGAAATCCGTTTCAGTGTCTTGATCGATCTCAGTCTGATAACAATTAACTTCTGTAACAGGTACCGTGATTGTTTAGTTAGTGCCTTTAATGATAGATGTGAGCTGCCATCGTTTCACATATATCTAATAATTTAAAAAATTTATTAAATAGTCCACTTTTAGTTCGGAATGACCTATAAGTTTAAATAAAGTTTGAAAGTTATTCACTTGATCCAAGACATCTAAAGATATAATATGATAATGCCTCGAAATTACTTTTAACTAATTTAATTATTTCTGACGATCGGGGATGCAGCTAAATTTTTGGAAAATTCTACTACCTACTGATAATAGTATTAAAACTGCATTTCCAAATATCCCATAAATGTGGTATCTGTTTATATAATTCATAATGAAATAAAAGTATCAGTGTAAGTGATAAGAAAAAGAATAAATAAAAATATTGTCATTATCATCAATTTGCCTAAACTCACCTATCTAGTAGTAATTTTTTCAACAGAACTAAATCACATGCTACGCATTCTAATCCGCTGTCAGTGATCTTCGAGCACCATGATAAATTCAATGATATTAAACGTTTTAAATTTTCACATATCACATCTAGACCGTCATCAGTTAGTTTGCTGCATCCACTTAAACTCAGAACTTGTAGATTGTTCAGTGTATAAGCCAGTGTCATGATACCTTGATTTGTTACATCCATACACTGAGTCAGTTCCATTGTATGCATATTAATTCGTTGTTTTGTACTGAAATAACTTAATGCTGCATCTGTTATGTGATAAGCTTGAAATTTAAAACATTTTAATTCTGGTAATAGATGTCCAATCGCATTCATACTTTCATCTGAAACATTGATACAATCAAAGACTGTTAAATATTCAATGCTTGGTAAAAGGCAAGACCAAAATGCTAATTCAGTAAAATCGTTACAACACTCAAATTCCAATTGTTTTAGAGAAGGAAATAAATTTATTAAACGTGACAATGATTGGTCTAGTATACTGCATGATTTAAATATTATATGAGTAAATTTATGTGTATATGATGAATTACTATTAATGTTCTCCAGACTTGAGAGGTTTGAAGAGATAGAGTTTGTAGAATCACTAGTTTTTTTTAGTTTCCATGTATCATTCGATGCTGAAGGTGAATCAGTATTTAATGATAACTTATTTTGTATAGCATAGTTTACTGTTATAAGATTATTGTCTTGTATAAAACCATTTTGTTGTTGTTGTTTCTTCACTTGGTTTTGGAATGAATTAATAATATCATTTGTCTTGAGCACTGGGTTATTATTCTCGTTTGTGTCATTTATCCATGTTGAATAATTCTCATTTGATGTCAATAAGTTTCGGTTGTTGAATGTTTTAGTTTTAGTTAAAGTGTTTGCAACTGTTGTATTTACCTGAGGGAAATACGTTTCAATAGTGGAGGATTGTGATAGTGATGTCAAAATTATGTTGTGATTTGGGCTTAATAGCATTTTCAGTATATTATACAATATTGAACTAAATCTCTCAACTAACTGTACAATTTTAATGGTTTCCAGGTGTCTGTTTATAGCGGATACAATGCGAATTCGAATAGAGTCTTCTAAATAACTGTACAATAAATCATTTGGTAATGGAATGTGATCAGTATGGTTTGAAATAATAACTGGGTCTTTATAGTCTGCATATTGATTCGATTTTGAATCTTCATGACTGTTTTCTATTTCCCTAATTAATTTTTGGATGTTTAAAACAAAGCATAATTTATTCTGGAAACCATTTAAACACATAAATTCATACCATGTACGGCATACAATTGAATAGTGAATCAGTTCATTTCCAGTTAAATAAGCAAATATATTATTCATGAAATTCTTATTCAACCATAGCGATTCAATTGTATGTGGACAACCTCTTTTTTGACGTCTTATATAATCTCGATAACGTGTATATGAAAGTTTCTTAACTGGAATATTTAAATTAATTCGTAGTCCTTGATTTACCAATCTTTGTTTTATGGCAGCTACTGTTGTTCCACGATGAGATGATAAGGGTGAAGAAGACGAGGAAATTGAATTATTTGAATAACGATTATATGTAAAGCTGGTAGAATCGCTACCATTGATACTATTATTGTTACTAACAATACTGTTTTTACAGTTACGTGCAAGAATAGCTAAACGATGTGTCATAGTCGGCGAAAGTGTAGCTTTGAATGTGAATGGGGAATCTGTTAAACTATTTATATTACTATGAGCACGTCTGTTATTAGCAGCATTGTTTTCTGATGAAGGCTTATTTTTCATTGTGAAAGTATGTCTTGGCACTGGACTACTAGGTAACGAGTTTGAGATTTTCGAGTTCGATAATCGATAATCAGAATAATTTGAAATCATAGTTTTTAACGAATCACTATTTACAAATCCATTAGGTATAATGTTTTTTCTATCTTGTGTCATTGCTGTTGTACTAGGAGAAATCGAAGGGTTTTCAAGGAAATTAATTTCAGAATGTTTTACAACCATTGACTTCCCCAATATTGATGAGTCTTCTTTTTCATCTGAAATTCTACCGCCAAGATTTGTGCTACTAACACTAGTAGTATTGCTATTGATGTTGCTTGCATCGCTAGCACTGGTGTTATTAGGAATAGTGAACAGTTTATTACAAATGGTACATTTATCATCTGTAAAGTGTTCACTGTTCTTATGATTCTTCTCAAACCGATTTTTTTCTTCAGTTGAATTAATAATGGAATGATGATTGTTAGTTTTAGAATTATTGGCTACAATTCTATTGGTGACTGAAATAATATATTCATTTGTCACGGAGTTTTTTATTGTATCCGATTCAAACTTTAAAACAACTGATGACTTAGTCATCGTAGCTGTTGAATTGTTCACTGTAACCGCTGAAGAAGTGGTTGTAGCATTTGATTTAGTAAAACGTAAATTTTTCAAATTATTAGAAAAGTCTATACATGCTTTGGCAAATGATGTCATATTGTTACAAACATTCTTGAGATAACTAGGATGGAAAATAAAAAAAAGCATTACGAAACACCATTAATAAGTTCTGAAGACACAACGTCGTATGTTTTTTCTTTAATTTACAGTTTACTCATTTAAGACAACTCTTACTATTTTCCAAAGCATAGCGCATATCCTTCACTCAGTTGCAATAGTCATAGTCACCATATTTCAGAAGCGATAACAGATATAGGTCGAACCGTGTTATTTTGGACATTTTTCTAGAAAGATGAATATTATTGTAGAAGTTTATTCGTAATTCATAATATCTAACTAAAATGAGTATATTTAAGCAAGCATTAGTTGTAGAGGATAAGGAATTTTTAGAATTATCTCTTACGAGGAAACTAAATATCATTCTTGGGTAATAGCGAATTCAAATGAATGATAGTAATATCGTATCACGAACACATAAAGGAATGTAATTAGCAGTAGGTCGACCATAACTACAACTAGACTTAAAGTTGAAAAGACAACAAAACTGTTGTGTTTACTTTTTATTAAGTTCCCTGATTAATTCATCCCTCAAGTTGATCATTTTTTCTATGATGTTGAATATTTTAAATTGATTGAAAGATGAATTGATAAAGAATATCTCGTGTATTGTGAAATTCTACTAATAAACTCTTATTTTGAAGTCTTGATAAAGAAATTTTTTCGATAAACCCTATCAGCATCTCTCTAATTCAAGAGTATGTCTATGTTCACTTCTGTTCAAACTAATAGTGAGAATGTCAATGTAATGTATACTTTCGTTTAGAAAAAATATATTGTTTGATTTAAAATTATATGTAATAACGTTTGAAAATCAAATTATGTCCTTCAATTAACAGAGTTATTGTCAGGTGTGAGTTGATTACTACACATCTTCTTACTGTATATATGAATTTGTATTTAAATCGGTTCAATAAATATATATCAGAGAAATATGTCAGTCAGTTCTCTGTTTGAAACTCAAATAGGCGTTGACAGTCATTGGTTAATATTGTGTCTATTAGATGAAACTATCTAATATGTTAATTAAACCACTATAAAAACAAATTAGTCTATCACTACTGAAATAGCTTTGTATTAGTGGTTATGATACTCTTACTAGAATATTAAGGATCCATGTTACTATGTTCAGGTAGAGGATTAAAAAGTATGGCTACCTTTTTTATTTGTTCCAGCTAGTATCTATTTTCAGATGACCTTGTTATTTATAAATTAAACTTACCGAAATGACTAAAAAGACCACTGAGAAAATCATTTCTAACCATCAATATAATCAAAGATCAGTAGCATACCATAACTTACTTAAGTATGTTATACAGTCACGTTAATTAAGAATAGCAATATATTATAGATTGCATTAAAAGACAATGCAAATCTGTCATTTTAATCATACGTTTAAACTGAAGGAACAAGTAACTGCACAGCATACTGTAAAATGTTTGTCAACAGAGTGTAATTATCATCAGAACAGATAAAAAAGGTAAATTAGTAATCAATATAAATATAAAAATATACAGTTAGAACATGGTTGGATTTTTAGATAAGAATTTTGTTATGAAATGAATTTCCACACAACATATACACCCATAAATGCATAAAATTATGGAACTGTTTACAAACCTAGTTGATTGATTTTCATGTGTATTCGAAACCGTCATGTACCTTTCCTCATGTTTTGACAGTTATTTTGTTAAAATCTTAGAATGACAATTTTGAGATAATTCATTGCGAGTTTATAAAAGATTGTAACTTGTTTCAAATAATATGTATAATATGTAGAGCCAATCAGAAGTAGCCTAATGAGAAGGTCAATCGATGGCAATCAGATGTTACCTAAAGTACAAGTACATTTCATTGGGTAAGGAATGGATCAATTTCTAAGAATTAGAGTGGTATATATATATATATTTGTGTATTTTATCCGGTAGCCCAAAACACTTTCCCGTTAACTCTTGTGTTCTCACTTAAGTATTCAGTTGTAGGGTTAGCGCGTAGCATATCGTGTATCTGTATCATATATATAATAGTTTTGAAGTGGAAGAAAACTGTGACGTAAATGTTGTCTTGGTCACATGATTAATGTCTTTAAATTGTTTCTAATTTTATTGAATTAAATTTTTTATGTAGTTCATTTTAAAAAAATATTTCTAGACATTAAAATTTTACTTTAAGACAGATCGCAAACTAAATGAATACAGTAGTTACGAAAAAATAATTTCAATAGTCTTTGAGTTATTTCTTATTAATTACCATAGAAATAAAATTTAGTAATATTTACTCTTTAAATAAAATGATTAAGTGACTTAAGTGAGAATAAACCGAAAAAATATCACTTCATAATTATTTACGTTTCAGTATAAATGACGAGTAGGGACATTTCTATTGAAATGTTAACCGAAAACGCAAGTAAGAAATAGTTTTGTGTATTAATTATAATTGTGATTAGATTAATCTTATAAAATGAATCATTGTTAAGTATACAAATCAAGTAGAACCGAAATCAGAAATTAAATTAAGCAATGGTTATCATGTATAATCATCGTTACATCTTCATAGATATTTTGATACTGAATGCTGTAAGCTTTATGAACACTGCTATTGAGATGAGTGGTATGTAGTCATATTGTTTCAAGGTAGTTTTCACAAAGATCTGATGACGTGGCTGATTATTTTACTCGCCATGAGGAATTTCACCCAAATCAATCAATAAACTTGGACACGTAAAAATGTTTACTGAATCCAAAAATTTAGTCTTGTAACTGTTCTGTTTAAATGTCTTCCTGGTGTATAGTTAGTACTAAACAACAATGGAATTTTTAATATCTGCACTTTTTTTGTCATTTGCACGTCTGCGTGAGTTCGTTTACTTTATAGTACTTTGGTTTTGTGGTTAATATCAGCAAATATTATTTAAGTTGGTAGATGTAGAAACAGATTTAAACTGATATTAGTTGAAAAGTAGAAATACTCTACAATTGTTTTGTTTTAGTTCAAACTTGTCAGAATGCATCAGTGTTGTCGCTTTGCATATTGTTCTTAGCTAAATAAATGATGAGAATAAAAATTATCCAGACAGTTGATATTTGTAAATAAACTTGATGTGATTTAAGACTGCGTTTTCTAATTACTTTTAACTCACTAAATCAGTCAAAGAGGAAGTATCGGCTCAGTTTACCTCATGCACTTCAACACAACGATAAAGAAAATTAACAAGAGAGGTAACTGTAAATAAATTACCTGAGCTGTCGTGAAAATATAAAAGTGGAAAATACATTTCAAAGAAACAAGTGAATCAAGGCGTACGTAAAGGAATGATGCTGAGGTGAAGATTTAAATTTAGAAAAGAAATTTAGTGACGTCACTGTTACCTATATTTTGCCACGTTATCCAATGTCTCTGAACATTTATTACAAACATGGACTGTCTCATTGCAGAAGTTTTCTTGCCTGGCTTGCTTCAAACCAACAATTCAAAGCGTGCCAAATTATATCATGTCTTGATTTGATACTTCTAGCAGAGCCTTTCCGAAATGTCTTTATTCCAATCAGCTTCGAGCGCCAAGGCTAGCGCTAAATTATCATGTGTAACTCATGTTCTAACCACGCTAATTCACTAGTTATCTTTAATTCAGTGGTTCTAGGACATTTAGTGTCATAAATCTTCAAAGTAGACTGAATGTTTTTTTTGTGATTTTTGAGTTACGATTGAGAATTTATATTAATCAGTTTTACTTTTGTAGACCAAAAACTGTTATTACAAGCCATGTGATGTGAAAATATGTTTACTTTTTAATCTAGACTTTAACAAAATAACTAATTTAAAAAAAACTATAAGAAAACCAATGAAAGAATTTAATGGATTTAAAAGTTAAATTTATTCCGGTTGATAAATAGAATTTTCGTTGCTCAGAAGCAAAATTCTGAACGTGTTTCACTCTTTCATTCGTAGAATTTAGTCGCAAAATCTCATTTTTTTTTCCAGGCGACATCATCAATACATATTTCAAAAAAATAGAGACCAAACTATCTGGTACACAGAAGACAACACATTCAAAAGTTTAGTTCGATTGATAAATTCTTACCAATCAATATTCGTTCAGAATCATTACAATATTTAAATTCATTGATTGGTATGCTTAATTTTTTGCTACGCATTGATTTCTTTGGTACAAAAACAATATTTATAATCAATGTTATTCTATATTGAAACACTTTATTTTTACAGTAAACAAGTGTTTTTTTTGGGGGGGGGAGGGAGGATACCATTTAAGTTATCTGTTATAAGTTTGGGAAACTGGGAGGATGGAAAATAGAGAACAAATTAGTTTTGATAAATGAGATAAATTTGACTAATTAGATGAAAGAAAATATTTAATGAAGTTGTCAGTCAGTTTTGTTTTTCTATTAATTAGATAGTTATTTAGCTTATTTAATTGCAATACATATGTACTAGTCTAAACTGGATGAAAATGTTTACATTCACTTCAAACGAAGAAATTATTTCTGATTTATAATTTTAAAAAAAGTGGTAATTGTTTATAAAGAAAGAACGTAATTCCAAATATTGTTGTATTGTAATAAAGAGCAAATTATCGTTCCCTGATTAAAAAAAGGAAATACAGTGATAGACATAATGCTAATTATATATTTAGAAAATACATTTGGATTAGTGCCACATTAATTTGCTTAGTTTAGAGTAAATACTAACAAATGTTTTATGATTATTGATTAAAATGGTAAACTGATTAGTGGTATAGTGTTTTTTCTTTTTAGTTTATGACTGTAAACAGTTAAACATATCAGTATGCACTGCTTGTAAATATTTATAGACGATATGTATATAAATAAATAAATAAATAAAACACACATTTAACTAGAAGTGTGTAAACAGAAGTTAGAAAATAATAGCATTTCATGTTCAGTTATCAGTGAACTACGGAAAAGTGTCTCCTTTGAAGATAGGTAGATATATATTTCAGTTATGTGAATATTTGAAATGTAGGAA